TTGCTCTTATTCGATTTATTCTACTAATTTCACATCATTTTCATTCATTTGTTTTTGTTTTTGTTTGTTTTTTTTTTAATTTGATTTTTAATTTTTTTTTTTTTTTTTTTTTCAAACACGTTTCACATTTGTTTATACATATGCAATCTTTGAGTTGAATTGTTTGAATTGTTTGTTGGTTGAAATTGAGATTGAAATTGTTTCAATTGAATTTATATGAATTTAAAAAAATAGAAACAGGTAGATTTTTATAAGAAATTTATTTATCATTTCATTTTGTTTTGTTTTTTTTTTGTTTTTTTTTTTTTCTTATTGTCAAACATATTTAACATTTGTTGACATATCGAATCATACGTTGCAATCTGAGTTTGATTGTTCATTGTTGTTTAAATTGAGATTGTTTAATTGAAACTAACCTATAAAGAAGAGTGAACTAATTGTAAAAAAAAAAAAAAAAAAAATATCATTCGGTCTTTCAGTTATCTTTTGGTTACGGCACTGATGCGAGAAAGTCGGAGGCTGAGGAGAGCCAAGAAATTCCAGGGGTTTTACGTACAGGTGAGTCCGGAATGATGATGTGGCACATTGGCCTCCTTTGCTTGAATAAATCCTCCCTCCTTCCTCCTCCCTCCTCCCTTCCCCCTCCTCTCCCCTTCTCTATTCCTCCTCTTTCACCTCTTTCACCTTCGTCCCCTTTCTCTTCTTCCTTCTCTTGCTTCTCATCTCTTTACCTTTAATATTATTATTATTATTATTATTATTATTATTATTAATATTATTATTATAACGATTTTTTGTATGTCAATTTACATTCAAATATTTCCGTTATTACAGTCTTGTGTAATTCAGGTAAATCTGATTAATCATTTTTTAAGAGAACTGATAAGCATGTTTTATTATTCCAAGAATTTTTTTTATAAGAATATTATAATATATTTTAATTTTTAAAGATGTTTTTTTTTGGTTTTTTTTTCTTTTTTTCTTGTAATTAATTTGACATTTTGTGTAATTCTGTTAAATCGATCAATCATTTTTTTTTCAGATAGTTTTAAAGAATTATTTATTATTAAATAAATTAAAAAAAAAAAAAGATATAAGACAATATTTTAATTATATTTACGAATTTTTAATTTTTTAGAGAGAGAAAAAAATTAAAAACAAAAAAAAAATATAATAAAATATTTTATATTATTTAATGATTTTTTAATTTTTTTTTTGCTTTTTTTTAATAATATAATATAATAAATATAATAATTTATTTTTATAATAAAATATAATATAAAAAAATATCTTAATTTTTTAAATATTTTTTTTTTATTTATCTTTATTTTTTTTCTTGTTTTTTTTTTTTTATAATATAATATAATAAATATGCTATATATAAATATAATAAATTATTTTTATAATATAATATAATATAATAAAATATCTTCATTTTTAAATATTTATTTTTTTATTTTTTTTTTTATTTTTTTTTAATTTTTTTTTTTAGAATTTTAATTTTTAAAATATTTGCTTTTATTTTTTTTTTGTTTTTTATTTTTTTTTTTTAGTAATACGATATAATATATTATAATGAAATATTCTAATTATTTTTAAATATTCGCTTTTTTATTACTTTTTTTTTATTTTTTTTAAATTTTTTTTTTTAGAATTTTAATTTTTAAAATATTTGCTTTTATTTTTTTTTTGTTTTTTATTTTTTTTTTTAGTAATTCGATTTAATATAATATAATGCAATATTCTAATTATTTTTAAATATTCGCTTTTTTATTACTTTTTTTTTATTCTTTTTTTATTTTTTTTTTTATATTTTTTTTTTAGAATTTCAATTTTTAAAATATTTGCTTTTATTTTTTTTTTAGTAATACGATATAATATAATATAATGAAATATTCTAATTATTTTTAAATATTCGCCTTTTTATTATTTTTTAAATATTTTTTTTATTTTTTTTTTTTATATATTTTTTTTTATCTTCTAATTATTTATTCTAGAATTGTAAATATGACATTAATATTATTTGTAGCCTTGTCATCGTCAAGTTCGCTTTAATAATGAATGTTTTATTTAACAAGGGTAAAGGTGGGAATCTTACGTATTATAAACCGTCAGTTATCATTGAACTGGCGAACAGTTAGTACACTTTCAAAGATGTCTCTCGACGAGGTAAATCTTTCAATTTTACTCTTATTTTTTTTCTTTCTTTCTTTCCTTCTATCATTCTTTTCTTTTCTTTTTTTTTTATCTTGTTGCTGTATATTATTTTGTAAAAATTTGTCATATTACATTTTCTCATCTTTTTTCTTTTTCTTTCTTTTTTTTTTCAAAATTGATTACCAATATAAACATTGTTTTTCTTTATAAATTTTTCTTTTTTTTTTTTTCTTTCCTTATTTCTTCTTGTCTTGTATTCATCTATTTAATATTATTTATATTTTGCTATTCTGTAAAAATTTGTCAAATTTTTTTTTTCTGTAAAATTGATTACCTATATACACATTTATTTTCGTTATACATTTTCATTTTTTTGTTCTTTCTTTCTTTCTTTTTATTTTTCATTTATCTGTTTAATATTATTTATATTTGGCTTTTCTGTAAAAATTTGTCAAATTTTTTTTTTCTGTAAAATTGATTACCTATATACACATTTATTTTCGTTATACATTTTCATTTTTTTTTTCTTTCGTTATTTCTTCTTGTCTTGTATTTATCTATTTAATATTATTTATATTTGGCTTTTCTGTAAAAATTTGTCAATTTTTTTTTTTCTGTAAAATTGATTACGTATATACACATTTATTTTCGTTATACATTTTTATTTTTTTGTTCTTTCTTTCTTTCTTTCTTTTTATTTTTCATTTATCTGTTTAATATTATTTATATGTTTTCTTTTTTTTTTCTGTAAAAATTTGTCATTACTTTTTTTTTCTTCAAAATTGTTTATCCACATACACGAGATTTTTATATTAATATGATTTTTTGTATTCTTCCTTTCATTTTTAACTTTTTCATTTCTTTTTTCTTTTTATTCGTTTAACAAGACAATTTATGTGAACGTAAAAGAGAGAGAGAGAGTAAATTAAATATTTATTTAATAAAACACAATTACAGTGAATTTAATTATAATGAAAATCAGTGAGCATATATGTAAACACGTCTGTATGTTAATTAAATTATTAAAATAGATACATTTAGATTGAATATCATTTCACGAATTTACATTTCCGAGAATTTATATACAATCAATGTATATGTATGTATAATGTATGTATTTTAATTTTGATTTACTAACGGATAATTTTTAATTAAACTTCAAAACTAAGAGTAAACATACTCGTCATTAGGATATTATTTATGAAAATTACTGTAAATATAAAAAAAACAACAACCTTTTATGAATCAATTTCAGATTGTAAATAAATTCAACTAAACAATTTAGGTTTATAACCTAAAAACTAAAAAGAAATATATTTTTGATAAAAATTCGATTACTTTTTGTTTCGAGTTTAAAGTTTTTTTTTTATTATTAGAAATTTTCTTTGATTAATTATTAAATTTTATACAGTAATTCTAATTATAACCTAAAAACAAAAATATATATTTTTATCTACAAATTCGATTACTTTTTGTTTCGAGTTTAAAGTTTTTGTTTTTTATTTTGAGAAATTTTGATTTGGTTTTTTTTAATTATTAAAATTTATACAGCAATTCCAAACATAACCTAAAAAAAGAAATATATTTTTAAATAAATTCGATTGCTCTTCTTCAAGTTTAAAATTTTTTTGTTTATTTTTTTTATTATGAGAAATATTTGTGTTGTTAATTACGAAATTGTATACAGCAATTCAAAACTGCTGAGGAAGCTGTAAAAACTCTTACGAAACGTCCCACCGATGAAGAACTTTTGGAACTTTATGCTTTATTTAAACAAGCTACGATAGGTGATTGTAATACACGTAAGTTTCGTTTTTTTTTTTTTTAATGAATTTTTGTTTAATGAATTTTTGTTTAAATAATTGTTATTAATTAATTTCGTATAACGTGAAAATAATATTTCGCACATTGCATGATTATACATTGCAAACATGAATTACAAACACATTTAAACAATTTGTAAGAAACACAGCAATGTTTTATCATTTTTCTTATGCAATGCAATCTTGTTTTTATTTATTATTTTTTTTTTTTAATAACAAATACAACAATTTATTTATTACAATCGAGGTCAATCTTTTTTTTTTTTGGTTACATTTTCAATACTTTTTTTTACATTTGATTTAAAATGTGCGTTGTACGATGTATTTTGTGTTATACGAGTTTAATTTAATTTATTTATTTCAATAAACAATATTCTATAATATTTTGTATTTAATGAAAAATTGTTATAAATAATAGAAAAACCAGGAATGTTCGACCTAAAAGGAAAAGCAAAATGGCAATCTTGGAATGACAAGAAAGGTCTTTCAAAGGAAGATGCTAAAAAGGCATACGTCGAATGGGTCAACAATTTGATGGAAAAATATAAATAATTACATTAATTATTAAATGTAATAAATAAAAAAAAATGAATTTTAATAATATATATTTTTAATATGTGTATTATACATATTAAATTACATATACATACGTTTTATAAAATACAAATTATAATTACGTGTTATGTTTTTTTAAGGTTATGGCATATGTTTGCTTGGTTTTTTTGATTTTTTTTTTTTTTACTGTTACATAAATTAATGAGAATGATATATGAAAAAGATTTTGCTTGGCATAAGAAAGAAACAAAAAGAAAAAAAGAACAAATTATGTAACCAATTTTTATTTTTCAATATTTTTTTTTCTCCTTCTTCTTCTTCTTCTTTTTCTTCTTCCAGTCTTATCGATTTGTTTTTTTTTTTGTTTATATTTAATGTTAATATATATATATATATATTTTTTTTATTTCTAACGATAGGCGTAAGAAAATCATTCAGATAACGTATCTTGTTTATCGTTTATTACTATTTTTATAAAATGATCAATTTGATTTCATATCACGTGACTTATAAATTATTAATGCGATTAAGAGATTGAACAATTGCGATTAAAGTTGATTATATAATTATTATTACGTAGTAAAATAAAATGATATATCCTTTGTTTCTTCACATTGAAAATATTTATCTGCAAAATGGAGTTTTGTTCATTTATATATTTATAATTAAAAAAAAAAAAATAAAAAAAATAAAAAACACACGAGAAGAATCTTACGCAATATTTAATAAATCCAAATTATATATTATGTAAATAAATTGACAACAAAGAATAAAAAAAAAAATAAAAGACAGTAATTGTGACGTTGCATTTCAAGGAAATATTCAAATCAAATTCAAATTAATGCATTTATTTCATAAATTAGTAAATTATTAATTAAACGAAGTAAATAAAATAAATTTTTTAAGTATTTGAGTTTGATTGATGATGTAATTTTGTGGAAAGAAAAATATTGAATATGAGAAAAACAATTTGCAAGTGTCCCTTAAGGTATGAATTAAGGTTATGTCAGAGTTTAGAGTTGCATTAATGCAAATTAAGTTAAAATGTATGGTTTCTGTTGTAAATTTAAAAATATATATATATATATATATATATACATATATATATTTTAATATTGATTTTATTATATAATAAATTATTTATATTATTAATTATATTTATTATAAAATAATGTAATTAATAATTATATCATAATTATTTATTTTATTATATAATATTTTTATAATTATTATATATATATATTTAAATTTATAAAATATTTATTAAAATAAAAATTGTTATAAATATATAATTTTATTATTATTTTATAAATATATAAATAGGTAAATATTAATAGGTATATAATAATAAAATAGAATAAAAAATAAATATAATAATAAAATAATAAAATAGAATAATAAATATAATAATCTTAATTTACATAAATTACGTGTCACGTTGTTTGTCCGCAATGGACTCCTAAACTATTGAACCGATTTTAATCAAATTTGGCACACTCTGTGCAGTTTCATCCAACTTGAAAGATAGGATAGTTTATATCTCAATTTATAATCGCAATATTATTTTATTGCGAATTATTTGTTTATTAACTAACAGTCATGATTATCTCTGTTATTAATATATATAATAATTAATACAATTTCATATTAATAAATATATTTATGTATATTTTCTGGTAATTTCTGAAAATATATTAACATTATCCTAACAAATATAAATATGAATATAAATAAATAATTATTATTTATCTTTTAATAATAATTAATATTTAGAAATTTTAAACAAATTCATAAATATATTTTTTGTTAGAACTGTTTTTTTTTTTTTAAATAAATAAAATACTCTTTAAATAATTTTCATATCAATTATTAACTGCTGTAATTTTTACATTAAAATGTATTTTGTCAATAAAATAGCAAAATAAGGTGATAACCCTGACGAATAATCACCTGAAAGTTCGTTTGAATGTTTTTATCAGTATTCATTATCCTTGCATGTGAACAAATTCAGATAAAAAAATATTTCAAAATATTTTATGATATTTTCATGTTATACTCGTTAATGATAAATTAAAACGTTTCGATAAGACAATTGATTCACATTAAATATAAAGATTACGTCATGCATTTTTAAAATACACATTTATACAAATTTTAATATTTAATTATTAATATATATTATTTATTAACAAAATTATTTATTATTAATAGATTAAAAAATATTCTTTTTCTTATTTATCTTCATTCACAATTGTTTGAAAACATAACCTATTTCAAATATTTCTAAAAATGTTTTTGGATTTGTTGTGAATATAATTTAATATTATTTTTAATATTTAATAAGATTGAAAAATATTTATTTAAATTATTTAATTTATAAACTTTGAATATAAATTATAAATTAAAATTATTTCGTTGATAATAATAATAATAATAATAATAATATTAATATATAATTCGTACAATTTGTTGAATCATGATTTAATATTCAAATTTAAATTATTATTATTATTATTATTATTATTAATAAATTTTTGTAATTATAAGTAATAATAAACTACAAATATTTCACTGATAATAATGATAATAATAATAAATAATTCGTACAATATATTAAATTAAGCTTTAATATTAATATATAAATTATTATTAATATTATAATTATTATTGACAAATTATTATAATTATTAGTAATAAAAATCAATAATATATATTATTATAAATTAATAATAAATTAAATACAATGAAAAATATCTTCTACTAATAATTAAACATTGAAGTAACTTATTGTTAAATGAAATAATTTTATTCGTGGTAATTGTAACCAGCTGTAATATTAATCAAAAATGATACAACACCAAGCCGGATTTAATAAGGGGATAATGGAATAATATAATTATCATATGTTAACCTTCAAACAGCTTAAGGGTCAGACACGTTTCATAAAATGTAACGGAGGGTTGATATCTCGCGAATTGATAATGAAATCGCGGGGGACATTAGGTCATAATATAGCATGACCACCAGGTCACTGATTATGGGTATTTTCTGATATGTCTTTGGTATAAAAGAGGTGCATAATCCCATCCTAAGCATACGCAATCTTGTATCAGACATAATGCGGTACACATTCATTCTATTGACTCTCGTGGCCCTCGGAGCGGCTATAGCTCCGCAACAAAAGCAGCATGCTGGTAAGTTTTTCTATTATTTTTACTATTTACTTATTTTCTACAATTGTTGTCACCATATTCATATTATCCCATAAGCATACCAATGCTAATAGACCTAACGGTTCATCTAAATTCATTTAACATGTTCACTGTTTATTCAAATCATCAAAAAGCAAGTTGAACATGGTACTTTAATAATTGTTATTTAATTCTAGCAAATCAAGAACTCTTGCAGAAGCAGCAGGACGTTGTTGATCTTCTATCCCAAATCACTCAGGACACAATTCCAAACCCACAATTAAATCACATTGCACATACTTACGATATTGTTGCCAATGCTGACAAATACGAAAACCCTGTAATCGTTAAGTATTACGGTAGTGTCGTTAAAGCTGGTTTGGTTCAACCCAGAGGTACTGCTTTCTCCAATCACATCAGCCAATTGCGCAAAGAAGCAGCTATTCTTCAAAAGATCTTATTGGGTGCCCTGAACTATCAAATTTTCTTGAATACTGCCGCTTATGCTCGTGTTAAGGTTAACGAAGGACAATTCTTCCAGGTATGATATATCTCACTTTTTAATGTTCATTGTACAATTATGTGAAATTATTTAATGAGATGTTTCATTTCAATAAAAAACATAGGCCTTTACTGCTGCCATTTTACAACGCCAAGACACCCAAGGTGTTATTTTACCACCACCATATGAAATCTTACCCTCGTACTACTTCAACTCTCAAGTCATCCAGAAAGCACAAATTTCTCATGGCTTAAACAATGATGTTGTTATCCCTGTTAACCAAACCACCTACTTGCCTCATGGAGAAGAACAACTTTCTTACTTCACCAACGACATTGGACTTCAAACCTACCATGCCTATGTTGACCTAGCTAACAACAATCTGCAATTGGTAAATATATTTGTTTATAAAATTGTACAAATTTTCTATATTTCAAATTGATTCATAAAATGTTTTTTCTAACAGCAGCAACAACAAGGCCAACAACAACAACAACAACAGCAATACACACACCAACAGCAACAACATCATCAACACCAACAACAGCAGTACAATCCATTAGGATCTCAAGTGTACCAATCGTCTGAACAAGATTCTCCAAATGGTAAAGGAGCTAAATCCTCTTACCTCCAAAAGCAACTTTTGGCCCGTTACCAATTGAACCGCCTTTCCAACGGACTTAGCCCAATTGATGAAGTTGATTACGTTACCGTACATGCTCCATTGGAATCCCATCTTCAACACCTCAATGGTCTCCCATTCCCTAACCGTCCAGAAACCTTGAATCTCCCAGAACAAAACCAGGAACAAGAGGAATTGAGCCAGGCCGTGAGGACATTGGAACAGAGACTCGTTCAAGCTATTGACTCTGGATATGTTCAAACCGCACAAGGTGCTTTGCTTTCTCTTTACCAACCACAAGGTTTAAGCATTCTTGCTGATCTTATCCAAGGAACTGGCAGAAGTGTCAACCCAAGGTTTGTTTATAACCTCTTATTCAATTGATTTTCTATTAGGGAAATGATTACATTTTTGTTCTCTTAAATAGATACTATGGCAACCTTCAAGCAGCAGCTAGCCAACTCCTTGGCAACGCTCCCCAGGTTCAAAACATCTACGATTACACCCCAGCCGTTTTGGAACTCCCCGAGACATCTGTTCGTGACCCTGCCTTCTATCAACTCCTCAAGAAAGTAATCAACCTCTACAACAGATACCAACAATCCTTGCCAGCCTACCAATACAACCACCTCTTGGTTCCTGGTGTTACCATCGAAGATGTTTCTGTTACTCCATTGACAACTTTCTTCAGCGAGTACTACGTTAACCTTACCCAGGCAATGGGACACGGTTCTCAACAAGGACAACAACAAGGACAACATCATGGTCAACATCATGGTCAACAGCAAGGACAACAACAAGGACAACAACAAGGACAACAAGGACAACAAGGACAACAGCAAGTACAACAACAAGGACAACAAGGACAACAAGGACAACAAGGACAACAAGAAGGACCACAAATCCTGGCTAAACTTATGAGATTAGACCACCATCCTTACACTTACCACATCAATGTTAACAGTGAGAAACACATTCCTAACGCCGTTGTTCGCGTTTACCTTGGACCAAAATACGACTACGAAGGCCAACCAATAAGCATTTCTGAATCCAGAGAATTATTCGTTGAACTCGACCAGTTTGTTCAAGATCGTACGTATGAAATCTTGAAGCATTATTTTTGATGAAGAAGACAAGATTTTAATTCAATTATAATTTGATTTACAGTTAAACAAGGCCAGAATGTTATTGTCAGGAACTCTCAACAAGCTCCAGGACAAAGCCATGACTACCCATCCGTTCAGGATATCCAAGATGGTGTCAACGCTGCTTTGAACTCCCAACATCCATTCTACATTACCAAAGTAATGATTTATCTTAAGAATGAATTATCACAAATGAAAAAGCTAGATTGTAACGAACCCTTGTATTTTCTTACAGCCACAAAACATCTATGGCTTCCCTGCTAGGCTATCTCTTCCCAAAGGTACCTACTACGGTCTACCACTCCAACTTCTCGTAGTGATTTCCGTACAAGGACAACCTCAGCCAAGCAACAATCCAGTTATTCCACAAAAATACCAGAACTACCAACAAGAATACCAAATCGTTGGACCTAATGAATACCACCAATATGAACAACAATCTAAACAACAAACCGTAGAAGTTGTGCCTGACCAAGGCAACCTTGAAGATTTAATCGAAGGTGTTATATCAGTAGCTCAAAGAACAAAATCTTCGCTACTGAATAAAGTTGATCGCATAAAACATTTCTTCTTTCCAGCTGTCGCTACCGAACAAGGAAGTCTTTACACGAAACACCCAGCACAATCCCAAGCACAAGCTTACCAAACCGAACAGGCTACACAACAAGTTGGCATTCAAGGAGGTATCCAAATTGGACCTTATGGCATTCACGGAGTATACCAAACTGGAGTACAAGGTGGCCCACAAGTAGGAGTACAAGGTGTTCAACAAGGAGTACAAGGTGTCCAAAGAGCCGCACAAGGTTTCCGTGGAGTATTCGAAGGAGTACAAGGATCAATACAAGGAGGAGTCCAAGCAGGAGTACAAGGAGGAGTACAAGGAGGTGTACAGGGAGGAGTACAAGGAGGAGTATATGGTGGCAGGGCTTACCAACATGTTAACGCAGGACAACAATATGGTTACCATGGACAACAAGGCCAACAAGGACAACAAGGACAACAAGGACAACAAGGCCAACAAGGACAACAAGGACAACAAGGACAACAAGGACACCAAGGCCAACAAGGACAACAAGGACAACAAGTACAACAATACAGTAGCGGTCAGACTCACGCCGGTGGATACCAAGGCATCTACCAAGCTTATGCCCAAACTCAGGAACAACAAGAGCAACAACAGCAACAACAACAACAAGTCAACAACTACTACCAGAACCAAGATATCTCCGACATTATTGGCGGTGCCATTTCCCTTGATGAGAAACCCTATGGTTACCCATTAGAGCGACCTCTTACTCCTGGTGCTCTTGCTGTCCCCAACATTTACGTAAAAGATGTTCGCGTTTACCACAATGGTCAACCTACAAACTCGATCAGCCAGTAAAAACGTCACCAAATTCTTACGACTAGTGTAATATACGGAGCGATTTTGAATTTGATCTATGTCACACTTAAAAATAACACGCATTACTGAAACGTGTGCGTGTGGTGTCTGTTTTTGTATGACTGTGTGTACCTCTTAATTTGAAAATGATAAAAAAGGAATGATTACTATAAAGAAAGTGCAATAAATAAATTGTTATAAAAACATATCAGTTCTTGATATTTCAAACTATCTACACATTTTAGGATATTGAAAAAACATATTTCTATTTTATTCTAAACAAAGAATTATTTTATTAAGAAATTACTCTAATATATTATAACGAATGCTGATTTAGATTTAATTATTCTTCAATAGATATCATAAGCATTGGTCCTTTCTGATGTTTTTAGGACATGAGTTAATTGTCATTTATGAAATCAACTCTCTTCTTCTCTTTACTCGCCAGTCATCATTTCCATGAACTCTGTAAATAATAATACACCAATAGAAATGTGTGTGTGTGTGTGTGTATGACTAGTTTTATAAAGAACATATTACTTCGAGAACATTTTAAAATCCGAAATAATATCGTACCATCAAAGTCCACAGTTCCAGAACCGTCAGTATCAATTTCAGCAATAATTCCATCAAGATCGGAACTAGTTAATTTGTCATCTAACGCAGCTAAAATTTCTTTCAGGGTTGCCGTTGTGATATAACCATTTCCTTCCCTGTCGTACAACCTGAAAGCTTCCTTGAGTTCTTCCTGCATCGCCTCAGCATCTTCCTCTTCAAGAAATCGTCCAGCGATCTTGCAGAAACCATCAAAGTTCACCTTGCCTGTACCTTCGGGATCATTTTCTTCAATAATGGCGTTCAATTCACCATCGTCGAAGAGTTGACCCATGGTGTTCAATATCGTTGATATTTTGAGGGTGTCGATGAAACCACTCTTCGTTGTGTCAAACATTTGGAATGCTTTGCGCATTACTGCAGTTTTTTGTTCGTCTTCCTCCTTTAATTAATTGGTAAATCAAACACACGTATTAACACCTTATTGGAATGGATTGATGAACAGTGTTTCTTTCTTTTCAGTTATTAGAGAAAGAGGAAGAAATGAATGTGGAGGCAGAGGTAGAGAAATAGGATTGAAGATCCTTACCATGATGACGTTTATCTTTGCACGACGGACGATCGATGAGACCTGAAGAGACTAGGGCTCTTCCGTGGCACGTTATATGTAAGACTTCCTCCGCGTCTGGTGAAACAGCTAGAAAGAGCCGTGGTCGAGGATTTTCATACTCAAAAATAGAGTCGCCGCGAGGAAAAATGAAATATGTTATAAGTGGCATATGTAACTTGCGTCGTCTTCTCCACGCGTCGTTAGGTGACGAGGGCGATTCTTATGTTTGTGTATGTGTGTTAGTATCTCTCTCTCTCTCTCTCTTTCTCTTTTTCTATCTATCTATTTACCTTCTCATTCCCTGTGTGTATGCGTTGCGTTGCGTCGCGTCGCTTTTAAAGTTATTTCGTTAACCGCAAAATACAGTCTAACGAGTCTGTGTACAATCCTCTAGCCAGCGCATTAGCATAGCATTCTTAGTTCACTGCCCACGCAGTCTGCCCCTGCAAACGATTACAAGGCGCGACACGTTACCTGGCATGCGGTACGGTAAAAATATATCGTTTCCCTCTTCTCCTCGAACAGTTGGAGCACTTTGAGAACGATTCATCATCGTTCGTGCATTTTCCAGTCACGGAAAACTAGGTCGGCACAGAGATTGCTTTTCCACCGTGCCAAACCCCTGGCACTTCGTATCACCTAACTAATAACGAAACAATTAGACAATTTGCCACTTTACTTGCGTCAGGGTTTGTCTTTGGATTTTCTGTTCACTCTCTTAATGACAAGATTACAGAATCACTCGTCGTAAGTAAATTAGATTATTATCGCAAGCAAGGCGTTAGGGTTTTACATTAACGATATGCTTCGTTGAATGATAGGCAAATTGGACACGAAAATTAACGTGCCAAATAATTAAAGAGAACCGTGCCAAAATCAGAGTTACTGCAGTAAAATGTAAGGGGGTGGATTGCACCGTTTTTCATGCCTTTCACAATTCATATTTTAGAAAAGTGACTTCTATTGACTTGGACAGTAGAGTTACTATTTCTTGTGCGAATTTTACAATTTCTTCATTAATAAATATTCATTCAGAATAGGTGGAATAACAAATTTCGGTGCATTGTTTTCTTGAACAAGTTATACACCTTTGTTATGCGTTCATTCATTGTTACGTATTCTATTATGTTCGTGTTATCGATCTGATTTTTTCTTTTTCTAAATTTCTCTTCTTCGTTTTTCTTATAATATACTTTTTCATGAAATTATTGTAAATTCAGAAATGACTTTAGTTAAGAAATGTTTTCCTGTCCCAATTTTAACTCGAGTTATATATTGCAAGGATATAGTATAGACAGAAATGTAATATTTGGCGTAATATAGTTTGTTTCACAATATTTTACTGCAATTTACGTTTATTCTAGCTGAAGGATTATAGATTATTATAATTAAGAAAAGGTCAGTATTTAATGATGGTAAAATACTTTAAATGCAATACATAAAAATAATATAAAAATGTCAGGAATAAGATTTTAAATTATCAGAGTATACAAAAGAAGATTTTCTTATTAATGCATGAAAATATTTATTAATTAATAATATTAATATTTATAAATAAAAATAATACATAATATAATTAATAATATAAGAAGGTTGAATTTATTAAATTCAAATTACGCGGGTTACTTCGATAGCTCCGATTCCTCTCGTTCCGCGGTTCAAGGAGAGGGCGCTTAAGCTCGGAAATAATCGGTGGTTGTCGGTAACAGTCGGAAGTACTCGGAGTTGCGTGGCGCGGCGTGGCGGTCGGGTATCGCCGGCCAAACGCGAACGATCAGTGATGGCCGCGGGGCTGCTAAGGTGCGGATCGTATTGACGTTAACACCGGCTCGCTTATTTATTATAACGCTGTTCTTTATCTCTCTCACTCTTATTTTGTTTTTTTTCTTCTTCTATTATGTGATATGCGTCCTCTTGTTTTATCTATAAATCATTGATAGAATAAATAAAAAATTATTTTTCGATTTGATCGGATTAAAAACGTGTTAGAATATTTTTTTTTGTTTAAAAAGGTTTAGGAGTAGGAGCCATCGGAACGCCATCCACATTTTCTGATCTTTCAACAACCTTGTTCGACTACTGCTTTAAATTATTTCAAATATTTCCAATGCTTGTTATTGCATTGTGAGCTGCGTGTCATTATTCTCAATGACGTTTGTGCATGCAATTAACGTTCGGAGATTAATTTAAATGTAGTAGAAACGAGGAGGGTGTTTTCAACGTTGGAAAACCTTTTTTTTCGCTATCTAACAAGTATACAGGTACGTAAATCCAGAACACGACACGATAAAACCAGGTGCGACAACTATGCGCGTACGAATCTGAAGCTTCTTTTCCAATACGAATTTATCTTCCGAAAGAAAAGCTTTATAAATTATTTTTAAAAAGAACAATAATTATTTATTTATTTTACTATAATATATATATATATATACTATTTTTATTGTCTATTTTTTTAATGTCACATTGTCATATTACAAAATTGTATTGTCAATACGTTAATTGTAAGAGTCATTTATTTGAGTAAAGTAGTCATAGGAAAGGGGAGGAGAGGTTAAGTGTTTCTTCTTAATAGTGCAAGGACCAATTCAACAATCTATTTTCCTATTTTTCTTTTCTTTTTTTTTTTAAATTATATACATTTTTTTTATATATATATTTATTAAACAAATATAATAAATTTTAAATTAAATTTAATTTGCAAATAAATTTGTTAAGTGAAGTTTGGTAGGGGGAGGGGGTGGGGGGGGGCGGTTGTCAATAGTTATTATACAGTTATAGTTATATATACAATATTTAGTTATTATACAATATATTATACAGTTCAAGACAAAAGGTATTTCTTTTTTTTTTTAATATAAATTGTAACATTCAAAAATGATTTATGTCGAATACAGTTAAGTTTGAATTATCTATGCATATTACTAATATGATTTAGCGGTCGTTGCTCGTAATACATGCGCAACATTTACATACACACACACAGACACACATACATGCGTGTATACAGTACACGTCTATAAATATATATATGAGAAACATCTTAAAGGATAACTAATTGTTAGTTAATTCACGTGTACTAAATAACGCAGATAAATGAATCATGTTTGAAAGTAGACAATTGATGGAGAACGGTGTTGTTCCTTCTGTAAATATGTCAAAGCTTCATTACTGTTATTACAATGGTACATCATAGAATAATAAGATGATTATCAGTTTTCCTCTCGATGTTTTCTTCTTTCACGTACAACACACACTTATGTACACCATAGTTTAAAATGTGATTTATAGATACTTTGCTTTTTTTTTTTTTTTTTTCTTGTACTTTAAATTTCAACGATAATATTACAGTTTATTCTGAGGGAGAACGATCTTCAGCGTGAGTTCAATGAACTGTTGTTCCATTCATAGCATTGAACGATTTATTTTCTTTCGGTTAACTGCTTGCGTCAAGTGTATAACAAGTGGATATTATTTTAAATGTTTAATAGTTTATAATAAAAAAATATTTTACCTTAAGTTTGTATTTAATAAATATCATTTTTTTATGTAGCTTAACATTTGGTTTGTTTTTTCAAACCAATTGTAAATCAAATTAAATTGCGAGTCAAATTATTTTGAATAATATGAATATAAAATAGGTTATGTTGTACGATGAATTAATATTAATATTTAATTGTTATTTTGGATATTATTTGGATTATTTTGATGTAGGTGTCTAGGTTGCATCCAAAGTTGACCGCGCCTTTTGGCCGGTTATCCCATTTCGCGTGTTCCTTTCAACAAAACCGATACGGTTTTCTACTATGCGTTCCGCATTCCCGAGCGTTCCCTCTGTCTCCTCGGGCGATCTTATACGCCCCCACCTGGCCCACTTATCGTATTGATTCAAACTTGGCCACTCGCACACGTTCCTCGTTCCTTCGTTTTCTTCCTGCTTCACCTTATCGTTTTATTTCTTCTTCTTCTTCTTCTTTGTTTTTTGTTTTTCATTTTGTTCATTTCTTTATTTTTCTTCTTCCTTTTCCACCGTTCCCCACTTTCATCCCCCATCCATCCATCCATCCATCCCCTTGTATATTCACTCGAGTGATTTGAATCGAGTAGTACTTTTTGTTCTTTTTTTTTCTTTTCTTTTTTTTTAGATCTCATTATTTCTATTTTGATTTGTGCAAAATGTTTTTGATATATTTAGAGTTCGATAAATTTGGCGGGAAAATAATATTCAAATATTCATCATGGCGGTGTTTAAACAATGAAAGATATTAGAAATTAGATGTGCAATTGAGGTTTTGAAAAGTACAATTTCCGAGTACATTTCTAGCGTTTAATGAAACGAGAAAAGTGGTTGAGACAATGGGAAAGGGAAAAAGAGGGGGGTTGAAAGTAGTAAAGGGGTGGTTCAACCGTTTGATTTCACAAAACCATTTTCCATCGTATCGTATATCTACGTAAGAGAGGAAGACTTTTAAGGACAGTTAGAGAGATAGAAGGTCATTCTTCGATATCGTGGGATCTTTTTCTCATATTTTGCGGCTCATTTATTTCCAATAATGAGAGGGGAGAGAATCTTTAGCACCCTTCTTCTTTACCCTTTCCACGATACGATTAAGTATCTCTTTGATATTTTCAACCCCTTTTCTTTTTTTTTAAGAGAGTTTAAACCCACGGGAATATATAGATTTAACTTTTCGAGTATTTGAGAATAATCGAGATGGAAATGGATTCTCAAAGGATTCCGGATTATGTGCATTTTTTATTTTTAGGTTATAAATATATATATATATATATATATATATATATATGATGTATATAGTTATATTTTTGGATGACAGTATCATTAAAATATTCAAAATTTAATTTGAAAATATTAATTAAATGTAAATATTAAATAATTGGAAAACATAACCTATTTCATGTGTTTAATTTTTAAAATTTGTTTACTCCTTTAATTTGATTTATAAAAAGATTAATATATATACACATATATAAATATATATAATAAAATAAAATATAATATAAAATATATAATATAATATAATAATATATATAATGTAATAATATATATATATAGAGTTGCATCCAACTTAGGGTGCATCTTTGACACCATCATTAATATATTCAAAATTTAATTTAAAATATTAATTAAATGTAAATATTAAATAATTGGTGAAACATAACCTATTTTACGTGTTTAATTTTTAAAATATGTTTACTCTTTCAATTTGATTTACAAAAAGATTAATATTTATACCTATATAAATATATATAATAAAATTAAATATAATATAATATATATAATATAATAATATACATAATGTAATAATATATATATATATACATAATATATAGAGTTGCATCCAACTATGGTTGCAACTTTGACACCATCATTAAAATATTCAAAATAAAATTAAAAATATTAATTAAATATAAATAATTACTAATTGGTGAAACATAACCTTGTTTACGTGTTTAATTTGAAAAAAATATGTATGTATATATATATATATATATACATCTTCTTAATATATATATAAATTACGTGTCACGTTGTTTGTTCGCAATGGACTCCTAAACTACTGAACCGATTTTAATCAAATTTTCCACACTGTGTGCAATTTCATTCAACTTGAAAGATAGGATAGTTTATATCTCAATTTATAATTGCAATTGACTTAAAGACGTGTATATCTGACTGATTGTAAGCCACAGCAATGCGTGGCGGGGCACCCTTAGTATTTATATATATGCCAAAAAAAGGTGATAATAATAAGTTAATTATTTAGCGTGATTAGATGGGGGGAAAAAACAAAAACAAAAACAAAAATAAAATAAAATAAAATATTTAATACTTAGACGTTAACAATTTTCCATTATGGTGTATAAGTTAAGTGATACTAAATAAGAGAATAGAAATTATCGAACACTTTGTTCTCTCTTTTCAAGAATAAATAATTAACCTTCCATTCTTTAAAGTTACCAACTGAAATCTAACCAAATGGATTTGTGTGTTAATAATCGACATTATTCAGATTCTAATTCCAATTTTGATTTTGATTTGAAATTATTGAATTCATTAATAATAGATAAATGATAATGATAATGACAATGACAACTATGACGAAGACATTTGTCTATGGTATTGAGATATGGTGTTTCTTTGCTTTGTCCATGAGACGACCACCTGTCTCCGTTTCCATTCGTTTCCAGACAACAGAGTTATCGATCTTTTCTTTCCTCGTTCTCATTTTAAGAAAGCTCTTTTATTTTTTTTCTCTCTCTCTTTGTTTCTCTCTCTCTCTCTCTCTCTCTCTCTCTCTCTTGACAAACACGAATGCACTGTAGTTCGTGATAATTATTTTTAATTTATCTACAGTGTGTTGTACAATTCTATGCTACTTATATTATAGTATCTTTCTTAGAATTTTATTCGCGTATTTATGAAGTTTACTTGAGGAAAAGTTTTTGCCAATTTATAAATATTAGGTCGTCTTGAAAGTTTCTTTTCTTCCTTTTTTTTTTTTAATAGTTATAATTGTAGTTACATTTTAATAATTATGTAGAATTTTATGTATAAGTTATATGTTATATTATTTTATGTGATTTTATAATATTTTATATGATTTTAAATCATTTTATATTATTTTATATTACTCTAAATCATTTTATGTTATTTTATATTGTTTTATATTGTTTTATATTATTATTTATTATTTTATATCATTTTATATTATTTTCTATTATTTTATATTGTTTTATATCACTTTATATTATTTTTTAATATTATATACCATTTTATATTATCTCATTATTTTATATCATTTTATATTGTTTTATATTGTTTTATATTATTATTTATTAATTTATATCATTTTATGTTATTTTATATTATTTTATATGAC